CGACGAGGAATGACTTATGTCCTTCTTAATTAAAAGCATGATTAAAGCGATTAAAGTGAATTCCCGTGACGGGACCTATGGGATCAAATCTATGCCCGAGAAGATCCCTCAAGCACTTCCCGTTACGCACGTCCTTGTTTAATATGTTAGTACACAATGGCGCACACAGGCGCGATAAAATTGTTTCTTTTTTAGTAGGTGACAGACGATAAAACGCTTTGTATTCTCCAATTCCTGAAAATATCGTAATACACGACTGATTGTCAAATGTTTTATCAGTCTCCATTGATGCGAAAGAAAACGCTTTTAAAGAGGATATATTTTATTGAGAAGGATTTCTTGTGATTTTCTCCAGTCCGCGGGGAAATGACGATTTGTGAGTTACGATATGTCACTTTCGGAAGACAGAGTGCATAAAAGTTTGCAACACAGTATAAAATGTATATAACTAGACGCTATATTATTTGTATCTTTATAACTTTTCGTTGGTGAGACGTATCTCCGCATGCGATTGTACTATTTTATTCATATCTTTATGCCTTCCATCGCGCACCCGATATTCGCCAGCATGCTGCGGCTGACATAGCCGTTTCTCTGAATGAAACATCACGTCGACAAGGCTCCCGGGGAATCGCTAACACGGGATCGTGATACATAATGCAATATAGGATTTCATTAAAAATCACAATCGTGGCGTAACGCGGACTATAAAAACTGGGACGTGCGTTTTATAATATGTATGTTACCTTAAGCTGTGCCGACGCGTAATGGCGAGCAAAACAAATTTTTCTTTACCGTCGCAGCGATAACGGATTCGAATTATCGATAACGAGCTCTAGAAATGATTAGCTTCGCTGTTACTCGCTGGAGAAACGACAGAGAACTTCGCTATCTATTTCCACCGGTGAATTTTAATGCTCGTGGTCTGCTTTTTGCTAAAAAAAGTGTATATCGATTTTTGTCGTCAACGATAATGTAACAAGGGTATACGGGAAACGTCGATAATTGGCTGAGTACATCAATATTTAACGAGCCCCGTTACGGCTTTGTCGTCGGCGCCATCGTTACCTCGCAAATCCTTGCCGGCCAATTATCATTTTCACTCTCTCGTCGGGTTCGCGATTACGTCGGTGCACGAGCGGAGTGCATTCATTAACGCGCCATCGCAGAGCGGCCAGCGTGGAATCTATTATACTACGTCGTAAGCTAGGGTGGCTTTGAACCACGATATCATCCTACATTTAGCGCTGAATGACCAGGAGGTTCCCGTGCAGTTAATGTATTCCATATTTAATATTTGTAAATTCGATATAAAATGAACCGCGTTTTGCATTGCGAACGCACGTCGGTAATATAAGCATTTTTGGCATAACTGTTGTGTAACGGGTCAATTTTAGAGAATATACACAAACGGTCTATTTGTATGAAATTGAGTGCATATTTGTCAAATGCGCGTTTGATAATAGTTAAATAGACTTTAACTTGATTTAAACAGTATTCACTAATACAGACTTGTTGACATTACACATTTCTGTATTATATCTATTTTGTATCGGTTTTCATAACAAGTCATGCGCGACCTATTAAATCGGGTTATAACAATATTAATATTATCGTTCGCAAATTGATGACAAAACGGCGTTCCGCGTTCTCTAGGATTTTACGACTAAAGCGAATTTAACTGCTACTTTAAACCGACACGACTCGCGTACGAGTGCTCGCGTAAGGTCGAGTTCGAGAAATGGCTTTGGATTTATTTTGACGGGGGCAGAGCGGAACGCTCAACGAACGCACGAGCGGTAAAAAACGCATTAGTGACTAATTCGAATGTATTTACGTTGCTTGGTTCAGTGAAAGCGGTGGCGAAAAAAATGCTAAGTCAGAGATATGCCGTAACGGTGCGACTCAAAATTACATTCGTCGGCAGAATTTTATTATTCTCGCGTATTTTAGAATATGAGTTATCCTTCGTGGGACATGTTTCAGCTTGAAAACCGGAAACGAAAATTACGAGGCAGCTTTGTGCCAGAATCTTCGTATTCAGCGACTTTATGCAAAACCTCAGAAATTTTAGTTCAATATTAATCCTACAAGTTCCTACAAATTTGAAGAATCGATAGAAAATCTCAAGATGTAACATTACGCAATTTATTGTCTTCTATCTTGATATTATAAATATTCCCGAAAGCTTTCCGTCAGACGTTCGGGCTTCAATAGAACTTTAATTGCATATGCTTACATTAATATAATATATTTGTTCTTTAGATATTAGCATAAATGTTTGCACTTTAGAGCTTACTATTATTAACGATCTCTGCGACAAATTTTCTTGTTATGATATTTTGCGTATCCGCCGTCATAAAATAATTCTCTGTATTAATTACGTAAGATATTTTATTCCAAAGTTACTTTGTTACGTCACTTTTCAGTCAATTTACTTCATTTTTATCGAGACATTTATTTAATCGATCGCGGTGCGGCGATCCTTACGGTAGACTTACCAGAAACGCGTTATCCTCACCCCCGCCTTTATCTCTCGGACATAGTTCATAGCCAACGAGATTTTTCGGGCTGCAGCCAGCAAGGACTTTTCGTGTTTCCGGCTTTTTGCAGAACGGATTTGTAAAATTGATCTCGCCGTAGACTTCATGTTTTACGACTTTACGGACGAGGAAGCATGCGAAAGAAAGACGATTTATTTCGCGCCGACTTTCCCTCCCGTGCCCGAGCATAAATGCTCCAGACGGAGTAGATGCACCTGCATCGATGTGCTCGTACGCGTGCAAAAAGAGAAGAAGGGTAGGGTTGGGACTGGTAGGAGGGAGAGAAGTGGAAGGAGGTTGAAAAGGACTCGGTTCGTCGACGTGTTTTCTCCAAGCCGCTTATCGAGCACCTTTCTCCTCGCAGCAAGCCAGGGGCTCTTGCGTTATCTACCCTTGCGCATCGTACGTTCCCTTCCTCCCTCGTCCCTTCTCATTTATTCCTCTTCCTAGCCTTGCCAGCGGACTTCAACATTCAACGGTTGTCTCCGCGGCCCTGCATTCGCGAGCGGAAGCGGATAAATTCATGCTGGCTTTCAACCACCTTACCCAACTACGCGAACGAACGACGAACTGGAAAAAAGTCGCGAAGCGAGAAAAAAATGAATTTCTCTCGCTCCGATCCCGCTCCGCTCCTCCTTTTGTGATCCGCGGACTCCCTCTTGTCCCTCTTCCCCTTCGCCTCTCGTTTTATCTCGTTTTACTACCACACTCTCAGCGAGTTTTTAGTGATTCCCTCTCTCTATTGGCGTTTTATATCAGTTGAGGAGAAACCTGAAAGTTTTTTTCTTCCATTTTTTAAAGTAGAACTTTAGCTGGACCCTATGTTTTAAAGTGACGCAGGTCAGGGATTTAGAAATTGAAAAATCTCACGATCGAGAAAGGGATTCTATGAATCTCGCAATCCAAGACTTTCGGAGTGAAACAATTTCACAAGTCTAGGATTCGATATTCCTATTAAAAAAAACTGACTTTTTATGGTTTAGGAATATGTGCAAGTCCACAGATGTCAGAATTTGAAAATTGAAGAAGTAGGAAAGGAAAGGGAAGTTTAAAGTAAGAAAGTTGGATGTAAAAAAATTCCAAAAAGATATAAAAATCTCTCTAAGAATTTTGGGGCACATTCTACGTTAGATTCATGTGTGAAATAATTCCAGTGTTTGGCGTGCACTTATTAATTATCGTGAGGTGTGCGAACGATGAAAGCCGCCATCATGTGTCCCAAACGTCACATCGCGATTAGTGTAATTAATTTCTCGCGAAATCAAGGGAGAGAAGTGTGGCGGGGCGGCGAACGGTGCAGTCGCACTGATTTTCGCCGAAACTGGCGAATGTTTATTATAGTTGAAAGTTTACGCGGCGAGAGCTGACAGGTCGCGAGAACTGTAACGACGAAAAGGTTGAATTCTCCGACGCGGTGGTTATGCCAATATGAAATCCTTCTGAATTGCACACACAACGAAGTTTACGTTGTTTATAGTGTATTTTAACTCCAACTTTCGATAGCAAAATAACTCGCTCTCTCCTCCCTCTCCCTACCCTCCCCCCATGTTTCCGTTGGTTTCTTTCTTGTTGCTTTTTATTTGGTCGACGACGCTCGCAACGGGAGAAACGGAAGTCGTGCGTTATCGTTGTCGTTTTCCCTAATGTTCTCAGAAACTGCTGAAAGATTCACGAACGTAAAAAAGGATCGTGCAGACTTCACCTAACTAAATCTTACGGCGTGCTTGCCTTCAACTTTAAAGAAGATACGGGTAATGCTCCCCGTGTATTTTGCCGCGGCCAAGAAAATCGCATTTTTGTCCGTTGTTTGTGAAGATAGCGCGGCGTAAACACGATCGACATTTATCGCGCGTGTATTTGCACGGATAAATTATCGAATCGACATGTTAATCCGATGTCACACCGGATTATAAAGAGTTAGCTGTTTCTCCGTGAGAAAATGTGCTATTTGTGCCGCATAACTATCATTCCATGATATATTATTAAGTATACTTATGCATACGGAGATACAAAATGGTACTTGATGACACACCCGTGTCTGCATGAGTGCACAATTATACGCATCATTATCAATAATATCATGCAATCGACATTTACAATAGAATCGATGACCTGATTTTCACACTCGACTTGCAGTCGCTCAGACAAATTTACAAATAGTCATATAATTGATTATTGCACGTTAACTATTATATCAGAAATAATATCAAATCTTACAGACATATTAAACGCTTCAACGCATTGCAGAATAATATATATATATATATATATATATATATATATATATATATATATATATATATATATATATATATATATATGCGCGTAATCAACGTAAAAATATATTAATTTGATTATATTAAAATAGATATTGATATCTAACAGTTTACATACTAATGTTGTTTGTTAACAAATGAATCATGGTTAACAAAAATCTCTATTTCTTGATTAATTTATATCTCTTATTAGCTATACAATTCTACTGCCAAAGATGATGAATTAGTAGAATTGATTAAATACATGTATAAATTACACATAAAAAACGCTAAACGTCTGCACCCGAGCGCAATCCGACGACTCGAGTAAGCGTCTAATGTTACTGAGCTTCTTTCCGCATATCGTTCGGATATCAACGTCAATAGTTGCAACAAGCTAATCCCACGAACTGCGACGATCTCGCGACAAGATGTGACACCGAGAGGGTAATCCAGCGACGGAGCACTTTGCGTGTTTAAACTTTAACCCCTTCGGCCGGTTCGCGCGTCTTATACGAGATAGCACCCGATCGACGGCCGCCGTAATGTATCGTGGAGAGGTGGCAGACGTTGAAGGAAATCAACGCGAACACGAGGCCGAGATTTTACGTAACCAGGCCGGGCGTGTGAATAATTCAGATTAACACTCACCGACCACGTTGAGGCTATAGTTGAGTGACATCTTCGGCTCAGTGCTGACCTGACACTCGTACACGCCAGAGTCGCGTTCCTGCGGCGACTTGATCTGTAGCGTCCAGTTCTCCGACTTGTCTGGATGAATTACCATGAACCTCAGGTCCGACGTGTACATAAAGATGCCCGCGCTCAGGATATGCATGTCCCGTTTGCGCATCCAGGACACCTGTAACGTAAATGGCGAGCCTGTTAAGTCGTGCGAAAATTCGTCGATTTAATGTGGTCTTTTGGGGTGCCAAAGAGTATATAGATTTATTAAAAACTGAATCTTTTTGTGCGTTAATCACACAATGTTCATTTAAATATTCAAAAATTAAATATTAATATCTGACTCGATTTTGAGACCTAGCGTATCATTTTTCTTTAATTCTCGGTATATTTCTTTATTTTTAACAGCAAGTTTTACCAACGTAGACAGATATTAAAAAATGTAAAACGTAACGTGTCTTAAAATCCGGGAAAGCAGCTTATGCAAGACAGGATAACCGCTCTACCTGTTAAATCCTAGTACCGTGTAGTCGGATCGATCGATAGTCGCGCAACTGGCTGGCTCTAAGTAAACTTTTAATCGGAAAGAGATTTAAATTCAGAAACGCGTTGTAAATGTTTAGCACCGGAAGTTCCCGTAAGCCGCGTCCCTGCTACAATACTGGCCCTGAAGTCTGCAACGTCTTGGTCGTGTTAGAACAAAGACCACGGAAAGCACCCACGGCGCCGTAAATCCCCCGCCAGTCGACGTGCGTGTCGCAAACGATCTCTATAGTCTCTCATTGTTTTGCTCGCGAACATGTCTGCCGGCTATTTAATGCGCCGTCAGAGTTCCGGGGCGTAATTTCCGAGCGCGCACGTTGAAAACGGCAGCCAAACGCAATTATCAGGTCTTTCCCCTCGCGGAAGTCTTTTCTGTGCCCTGCGGTTTGGACTTTTTCACCCCGGCAGAGTTGCATCGAACTCGAATAAATTAGCTCTCGTGCAGACGAGCGTGCCGGACGGCGCGGTTTAAGTGTAGTTTCGCGATTTCTTTCGAAGGAACGTAAAATAATGTCTCCGAGAAAGATATTCGCATTACTTTTCTCTTCGTGTATATCTGATCTTAACTCGTCTGACAAGATATTTTGCCGAGAAATATATATCTATAATATTTGAAGTTTTTCTCTCTCGGTGTATAACGTAAACATTAATAATTTCCCACTCGTAAAATAAATATTCGAAATAACAAACGTGTATTGCACGTTTCTGTTTTAATTAGAAAGCCATATAATTTCAGTTAAAATTCGATTTCCTTGTCTTAGCTTTTAAAGTTACTCGGAAGTTCACATAAAAATGTGAATGTCGTTTTTATTGCCACGTGAAGATCAAAGGGTTAAATTGGTTGAACGATGCCCCGGCGTATCCATTAAACGGTAGTGAAAGGTGGAAAGCTCGATTTAGGCGACTCAGCTACGCATATCACGGCGGCGCGCGATGCACTCGCATGATTGGACGATACCTTTGCGAGCAAACGCCAGGGACTAATTCGCGCAACGTGCTGCTGAATCGGAGGTCAGCCACCAGCAATAGTGATCTAACCCCGCGGGGTAGTGCCGTATCAAGCGGATTGATTGTCTCCTATCTCTCGACGATCATCATCGGTCAACCATGAATTTCATTTTGCAAATTGAGTCTCCTATTCAAGGTGGCCACTTGGAGAACTGTACGTTCAGTACTAAAAACATTAATGCGCAACAGTTTTGTCGGTGCGAATTGAAAAACAATTGATTTTTGACGAACCACCGATGGAGATTGATTATAGTGCCGCGTTCCGATCCATATTCGCATTTGGCGTTGTCAATGGTATCCTAAGTACATCCTGAAAGCGCTTCTATGTATGAACCCTTTGATCTCTGCGTGGTCAAACTGTATATGGTATCCAACCGTCTCGTTTTCTTGCGATAACAAATATATAGGTAGTCTTCCCGATGAAAATTGTGCATGTACTGCAGCATAATATATCCGTACATAAATTACGAGATTAACATTGGCAAAAAGGACGCAATCGTGCTAAATATAATTGCACACTTAATTATGTTTGGTTTTCTAGCGTAACGAGAAATCACGCGCGGCAATGATAATTATGATAATTACCAAGGTCGAAATATACATTCACGCACGGGTTATATATAGTATTTTTTGATTTAACGATACGTGCTTTAATTTCATTAACGCATACAACAAGGAAATTACGATACAAAGTGCGTTGATACGCTCGCGAGTGAATAAGATTTGACGGCACATGTTGATCCTGTGGTATTTAACGGCAATAGGGTATTTATTGTGATATAATTTGATTGTGCTGATGTTTGCATTATGGTGGATCGTTATTACACAACGCTGTTGTCACCCGTTGGATGTCGTAGGGTATCGATTAATATGTTTGCCGCGGGATGATTATTGGTGATGCCCGTTAGGCATTAGCGCTGCACAATTCACATCCCATTTGCATCAAAGGCAAAAGTGAACGTTTCATGCGTTCTCACGCAAACGCAAATTTGGATGGTGAATTTACGTTACGCTTAAATGCAAATGTGCGTAGGCGGTGGCTCTTTTGAAAATAAATACGCATTACGCATTAATATTTACACAGTTGGTATTACTCTGACCAAACCGTGGATTCTATTACTGTTTTTTTTTTGCTTTTCTTCTCTTTCTGTAAATTTAAATGTTAGCGAAATACATTTCGTATATTTTCTTCCGAACAGTTTCCCTCCGTTTGGTAAATTTAATAAATCATTCGTTGTACTCACAGACGAACTGATTAAAACTTTATCGTTTTTTTTATTCTCATTTGTAGACCACCTGTCAATATAACTGTCTATTAAATATTGAACCAGATACACTATAGTCTCTATTGTGTCTTTGTTTTTAGCTGAAAAATATTTTCAGCTAAATCAGCTCAATCAGCTTATCCCCATTCTGGGAAATTTTTTTCCATCTCTCTCTCTCTCTCTCTCTCTCTATATACATATATATATATATATATATATATATATATTCATTTACGTAACGTGTTTTTATATGTTTTATACGTGAGTATAACTTTGTTGCGCTGAAAAGCAAATAAACAGGTAATATGTGCGCCGCGAATAGAAGATTTTCGACAACAGCCGTTTTTGACGTACATGGCGATACTTGTTCACCAGGCCTATTATCGAGCCACTTAAGTTCGGCAACTCACGGTTAAGCGACATCGCGTATCACCGCTACCGGGCTGCGTCATCATTTTTTCACGCGATTGTAACCAAGCCCGCGTGCGATAATCGGGCGATATTTTAGTCGATCACGGGAGGATGCCGTCGTACATCGTTAGCCACGTAAAACCGGCAAATTCGCCGTACAACGGCGGCGGCGGTGTGCACGGTTTACCACGGCGGCACATCGCATCTGCATGCGCTTCATTATTTATGAGCTTGCTGAAACGGCTGGATCGGCGCTCATTGGAAATTGACGGGTATCGATTTCGCTCGTCGCGAGTCCGCGCGCCGTTATACGCCGATCCGGGGATGATGGATGTCGGTATCTCGCTAGCGAGAGGCGACCAAATGAAAAACGAGGTGAGAACTCCGAAGACAAGGGCCGCGAACTTTCGCAAAGAGTTACACGCGGGCTATTCTTACTCTATATTATGGTATACATTTGAATAGATATTCGGTCATGATATAGCTCGTCCTAGTACGACGTGTGCATACATACATCATGTCGAGAGCTGCCGGATAACTTTTGTGTCCGCGTTAATCTTTAATCGGCGACGTGAAAAATATCGGAAGCTTGTACATAAATCGACGATATATGCCCTATAAAGCAATTTATACGACTCGCGGTCGTTTTCCCAAAATTGTACTCTTATCTACGGTATATAAATGGCAGAGCTGGAGAATTTATTTAATCAAACTCAAACTCCGAATACGACGATGATGCAACATTTAAAGATCACGAGATGTGATGTGTTTCATTAGGACGACTCATCTCATCGTTTGAATTCTAAATATCTTCGACACTGCATCCCGGAGACTATAAGACGGCATCCCTCCTCCGTCTCTCTCTCTCTCTCTCTCTCTCTCTCTCTCTCTCTCTCTCTC